GTTTCTTTTTATACGAAATCTGTGACATATATCACGTTTTAGCTTATTTCATCCTTATTTGAGATGAAATAGGTAAATTAAAAAAAAAATTCGTCTCACTTAAATAGAAACATAGCCTAACGTGAAAAAAATTTGTCTCAAATAAAAAATATGTTTATTTTTTGTTTTATTCTAGTAATTAATTATTAAAAAAATATTAAAAAATTTATTAAACCGTGTAAAATTGATAATTCTTTTAATATGCACGTGAAAATACACAATAAAAATTTATTAATTGAAGATCATAAAATATTACCGAATCTATTAGATTATATTATAATTTTTAACAAAAATTATTACTTATTAATATTTTATTATGTGTTTCTAAACATATATTAGAAAACTGATTTTTATATTAAAATGTATTTTAAGTAGAGTTTAATTTGTTGAAATAATAGTTTAATTAATTAACAAGTTTTACATGTATTGTATGTGTATTTTTAAATTAATTTTTTAAAATAAAATTTTAAAAATGTAATATATAGTTATTTTAAATTTAATAAATTTTGATAGTTTTTTAAAATTAATATTTTAGGAATAAATAAAAAATATTTTACTATATTAAATAAATAAAAATATAATAGTTAAAAATTTATTAAAAATAAATTAAAAATAAATTAAAATTTTAGTACAGAAAAAAAATCATACGATAAAATAAAGAAAATAACTAATTTCTAAACATGTTCATGTTTAAGATTGTTCTTAAAAATAATATAAAATTAATTTAAGAATTATGATTCACCTAGAAGTAGATGTATCAAAAAGTAATTAAGTTAATCAAGTATTTATATAAGTAATATTTAAATTATAGTTTATTTATGATTTTGTATAAAATTAATTAAAATAATTTTCATAAATTTTCATAAATTGATTATAAAATTATAAATAATGTTATATTTTAAGATAAATTTTTCAATCACTCTTTAAATATTTTTTTTAATTTCAAGAATAAGAAAAAATTTCAATCACTTTTGTTTATCTTTGTAAAGATCACTGTTTTCTATTTTCTTCAAATTTAGATCAAGAGCTTTTCTTATTTCATTCTTGGTTTTATGAAAAAAATATTTTTTTAAAACTAGTTATAAAACATCAAAACAAAAACTACTGAAAATGACATATTCATCAATGTACCACCACACAAATAAAAATAAAAGCGAAGCTTGTGATAGTTGCTCGTATTTTAAAAATATTTATCTTGGAAACAATTTTTAAAACATAAAATTAGAATAAATCTCATCAAATAAATTTTTAAAATTTGTAGTACTTTAAAAAATAAAACACCCTAAAATTTAGGCAGGTGATTTCATCTTAAAAGTGACTTTAAATAAAGATGAGTATGATATTGACAAACTCCTTGTTATAAGTGTAGATAATTTCTTTTTGGGTCATCTGCTAAAAGTTAAGTTAATTACTAATAAATAACTACTTATTTAATTTAATATTTTGATGTGAAATATCATGGTTATTATAAAATGAAAGATAAACCACATGACATTTGAATCAAAGAACACACTTGATTATAAGATGCTTAGAACCACAAAGCTTTTAGGACTAAGCTTGTCTTCAACTGCAGAATGTTATCGATGGTCTTGACTATGCAAAAGTGATATATCACCTTCTTCTTCAACCAAAGATATGCGAATTCAATTATTTTGCAAACACAACTAATTTTAATTAACATTTAAGTTTTTACTTTCTCATTTTACATATCATTTTTTTTAATCAAAACCTTTTATAAAATCCATGGATTCAACCTTGCAGGAGCCTTACAAGCAATAACAACCAACAACTACTATCTTTTTCATCCTCTAAGCTTTACCCATCCAGGTCTAAAATGCTTTTAACATAATGGAGTATGGAACCGTGATAAACTCGTATATTCATTGTCAAACCATTTGAATAAGTAATAAAAAAATACTACTATTATTGTTAACATCAAATTAAGGATTTTTTTTACTTTGTTTTTGTCTTGCCTTATTTTTTTACTTTGCTTTTGTCTTGCCTTATTTCTTAATTTTGAAGAGTTAATTATGATCTGTTTAAAAATCTAGTTAGACGGATTAGAAAACAAATTTTCATATTTTTACTTATAAAATCTAAACTTAATATTGTTAAGATAATAAGTGTAATTAAAAAATTCTAATTAGGTAAGAGTGAAAAAGTTAAGTAAAATATAAGTTATAAAGACTAACAACTCAATAACCTTAAAATTTTGAGTTTAATGTGGTATTTAAGTCTTTTTATATGATTTGTTTGTAATATATTGATGAAGACTTTTTTTATGTTTTAAGCCTCTCATATGATTCAATAATGTATCAAAGTGATTGATGCATCTATATCATTGACTCACACAGATATTGAAGCAGATTGGTGATTAATTCATATGAAAAGATTCTAATATAAAATTTTTTTCTAGTGTTTATGTGGTTAGGCGGCATATCTCATTGATGATAACTAAAATTGAAAAGACCATTGGAAGACAATGACTTTAGTACTCTTCTCATCCACATAAATACTCATGGTTAAAATTTAAAAGGCTTTAAGTGAAAGAGAAGTATACTTAATGAAAGAGACTCAATTATGATGAACTAATTGTTGAGGTAACAAGTGTGAGAGAAGAAATATCATGTTGAATAAAAATAAAGAAGTTGAGCAACATATAAATGAGAAGGGCTTGATGATTTGTCCAAGTGATCTATTGTAGAAAGAATGACTTTTTTTTAAAGGTGGCTTAGTTGCATGAATTGTGAAAGAACACTTTCAATAGTAGTTGTCCTCTCCTAGGACAAAAGTTGTCGAGAGGATAGACTTTGAAAATGAAGTCATTATTTTAAGAAATTTTTGGGTGATTTCTAAAATATGAATTATATGAGTTTGAGAAATAAGAATAATTTTGCCTTTAAATTTACTCTCTGTAATTAACTTGTTCTCAAGCTATGTTTCCTTCAAATTAGTATCACAACATCCATTTTCGTGATTACTACCATAAAATTTACATTTTAAGGGTTTTGAATGTGTTAATTGTACAAATTAAAATTCTTTAATTAAGGCCTTCAATTATTGAAAACTGCGTTTATTTTGAGTCAAAATAGCATTTTGACTTTTCGACTCCATCAATCTCCTTCTTCTTACATTTCTATCGCTAGACATTTAATATTCATTTGAAGCCATAGTCTTAATGAGTTGAATTTTATTTACAATTTTTGTATGAACTGAACAACCAGCAGAACCATTCAAAATAAACTTAGTAAAAGGCTTAATTACACTATAAAATATGTAAATTTGTTAGATATTCAAATAAACTTAGTAGTAATGGTATCTCTCAATTAAGCCTAAAGACAACCCTTAGCACGATTCCTTAAAGGGAAAAAAAAATAGTATCAGCTTTATTACACCATTGGACACCCTCATTCATTCATCTTAATGGTATAACACAACTTAAGAAAGTTTGCAATATATAGATTTGGATCCTCTAATTCATTTACTTCAAATTGGTATTCTTGAACTAGGTAGAGTAATATATTTTAATCTTAAAATTGTTGGTTGTAATAGGCAATTTCATAGTACTTGAACAACACCCTTCACAACTTAGAGTGACATAATTTTCGAGGATAACTCTTTTGTCTTTACTTCTCTTTGTCATATCTTTTTCTTCTTTCACTACTTGTATAGTTTCTCTTTTTTCTTAAAGGTTTTTGTTGTGTCTTTCTTTCTCTTGTCTCTTTTTTTTCGCTATTTTATGCATTTTCAGATATTAAAAAAATAGGATCAACAACAACTTTACCTTGCAAAAGAAAAAAAAAAAAAAACAAAACAAAACTAAGAGAAAAATGAATAAATTACAATAATAAAAAATTAAAAATCTAAAAAAAGTTGTTCAAATTAGTAGCTCTTTTAATACTATTAATACTAAATCAATTGTTTCCAACAAAGGCACTAAAACTTATTGGTTAAATTTGAGAAGATCGTTTCACGTAATAATTATGAATAAGATATTTTTCCTACGAGAACTAAACTTTAATTACGAAACTTTGAATATTGCTACTATTTGAATGACAAATTGAATAGAATGTCTGTTTTTCGTAGTAAAGTAAATTTTGTAGTATTTAAATATAATAAAGAATAAAATGAATAAAAAATTGTATAAATAAGATTTAGAAAATAATGATATTCAAGCATTTTAAGTCAAAATCCTTTCATTCCTCTTATCATTTTTAGGTGAGTAAGTATAATTGATTGTGTAATAATGTTATTTTCAAAATACTTAAAAAAAAATTTAATTAAGATATTCATATATGTATATAAAAAATTAATAATGTACCGAATATGCTACTGGTGGTATTATGTTCACTTTACATGCTACTTATTGTAGAATGTTGAGTTATGTTGAATGCAATCTTAAATAAGGTTGTAAGTAATGAATCAATTAGAAATTTTTTTATCTCACGAGACTTTTATATACAAAATATTTATTTAAAATTTAAATATGTTTTTTGGACTTATTTTTATTTTAGTTCTTTCAAATATTTTTTCATAAATTTCTGTTTTTAGTCTCTATTCCTGATCTGATCCATTGAGATATTGCAAAGTTTTAGCTTTTAGTTAAAGCACATTAGATGGATGGAATAAAAATAATATAACTACAATAATTAAAGTGCACAAGAGAATATTCCAAATTAAGGCTATGTAATAATTAAGAAGTCAAATGCCCTTAATTCTTCATCCTTTTGAACTGAGGCATGTTTGACCGCTACTCATCCAAGTTATTCCTCCAGAGAGAAATTCATTGGACCATCCCAATCCCAACATGCAGTACTAACTGGAGTCTGGATGGTAGCGCTTAACAGCCACTATCTTTAAACCAGTTCACATTCTAAAGAAAATGATTCCAACACATTTAAAGAATATGATTCCAATCAACTATTGTAGAGATAGAGAGCAAAGATCACCCATTAATCAATCATAGAACTATTACCAATAACATAAGGATCAAGATGTTGATCTGATCACAGTGTCATAAACGTATATGATCCCCATATATCCTTTCAATTAATGAAGTTACATTTGCATGATGACCACGCTTAGGGTACAAGAAACCCCATATACATATATTATATGAGTTATGACTTCAAACATAGACATAAACACAGGTGAAAAAACATAATGAAGACTCCATCCAATGTACAACGTACCACAATCAAAGTAACATGAAATTCAGAATGTAGATCCATCCCATCCAAAGTTGGAACCCTGCCGAACAAACAAAGCACCGTTATCATCAAGCATAAGCCAAGACAATTAAAAGAAGCTAACTATTTCTTGGACATAAAAGTAGACCCTAGAAATAGTGAAAGTTGACGTTAATGGAGTGTTTGGCATTCAGAATATTTTTAAGTGAGATTCTCTAGAATATATTTCTCAGATGTTATCTATATTTGTTTACTAAGTAACTTTTTCAAGAATTTTTTTTATTTTTTCTTATTCTCATATTTAATATTAAAAAAACTTACCTATTAATGTTATTACTTTTATAAAAATACCTTTAACTTAAATATAAGCTATATAAAGTTCTACGGATAATGGCGACAAGTAAATCAACAAAAAAAAATAAAGGAACAAAGAAGCAGACAAATAATGACAATTGAGAGAGAAAAATGAACAAAAATAAGAATACATACTTACTAAAGAATAAGAGTAGAGCAACTATAGACAAGAGAACCTGAAAGAGACCAGTGAAATAGAGAAAAGAGAAAGTATAAAAATGATTTAGAATGTGTAAAGTAAAGTAAGATTAAAGAGACATTTTTATCTGAAAGTTTCAAATTCTAAGAAAGTTAAAGATACCTTTATTGAAATGAGAAAATAAAAATTTCAATTTTTTCACAATTTAAATTTTTTAAAATTTTTTTAATCTTATATTAAATATGGATAAAAAACCTTTTTAAGTAACACTTTTAAAAAAGTTAAAAGATTCATAATACCAAACATTAACTAAAAAGGAAACGGATAATATTATTAATTTAAAAAGAATGGGCTATATCGACAGTCTTTAACAATAAGGATTAATTTAAATTATCTAGTGCTGGTGTAAAGGATGTAAACACTGTGCATACTCTTGACTCTGATGGACCTAAACAAATACAAAGAATGCAATAAGAAAAGAGTTCATGGCCTTCTTTCCAGGACAGCGCAATTTTAGGCACTTGCCTCAGTGTCATAGAATTTCAAGAAGAACCTCGACTTGGGCACAGACAACCTGGTTTCGAGAATTGAAGCAATTGCAGCACTAAATTTCTTGTTCGTACTAGGGTTAATGCCACCAATGGACACCAATTCTCCATAAGCCGCTGGCTGCTCATTCCCACCAAAAGATATGGGTACTGATCCTTTCAGCACAATCATCACATACTGCAAAACCAACAAAGGGCAGAACAATCTAAACAAGTCAAGACATGAAAATTTGATGAAAAAAAGCAAGAAACATGCATTAACATTAGCAAAACAACCAACAGTAAGATATTTGACTATCTGGAAAATTATCCAGGATAGCATTCACAGTGACTACAAACCCAGACTCGAACTAGGAAACCCGGATACGATACAAGATATAGATAACTCACACACAGGACTACGGAAAATTTTAAAAATTCATACGACACAACACAGCCATAATACAACAGATAAAGTTAATATAAAACAGAACACTAGAAATCACCATAGAGAATGCAGGTTTTAAAAATGAGCATAATTCACTATAGACATAATAAAATGCCAAAATTTATCTACTTATTATATTATTCTAATTTATTTTCGTAAGTTAAAGAAATGTAAAGCCCAAAGATAAAAAAAATAAAAAATGCAACTAGTCCGCGCAGGGTGCGTACATTACTACTATTTGAAAGTGTATATGCTTCCATGCCAAACACTGTCAATTAATTAAATATATATTTCAATATTCTAACTATTTGTTTTTTTTTTTAAATTCTTGAACAGGGTGCTGAAGGCAAAAAAGTAATAACAGAGAAAACCATTCCTACCTTATCCATAGTTATCAGCTAGATTTTTATCAGCAAATTAGTCACTTGTCACACATATACATAACTATTCAGCAAGAGAAACACTCTAATAAGCTACCAAAATCGACCAATTACAAACCTAATTTAGATTTCACCATTTAGGAAACAAATTACGAATGATCAGCATAAATAAAATTTCGAAAAAAGAAAAGAACGCACGGCCTCGGGTTTGCAGATGATAGCGGCGACGGAGGAGGTGGCTTCGGAGAGGATGGAAGAGGTGTCGACGCCGTCAAGTGAGACGTTGGTAGTGAGGTTGAGACACGGCATCGTTTCGCTCTTCTGTTACTATCTCTGCACTCCGCAACTGCCAAATAGTTAAAACCCTTCCAAGATATTGCCGTTTCTTCTCGTTTATCATAAGTCATCGAAGGATGCATCTCTTTCTCTCTCTCTCTCTCTCAACAATGCCCATTTACCAAACTACTTCTCTTAATTATTTAATGCCTAAAATTACGCACAGACAAGACTCAAAAAATAATATTAAAAGTCTTTTAAAAATTATACTTCATTTGTTTTCCCTTTCTAATAATTAAGTATTATCACGAAGAATCTCATATAATTTTAGGCTTTATTAGTATTAATTGTTTGTATTGACCAATTATTGGTTCTCTGGTCAGTTTTGCGTAATATATTTGTGGGTTTAGCTGTCAATAATTATGATGATAAATGCATGCTTCAGCTTTAAGTTCATTGACTGTGAACGCCTACCAAAGCCTTCTGTCAAGATAGTTAGTTATAAACTTATAATTATTCAATTAACTTAAATTTATAATATATAAAAATAAAGTATGAGTTTAATTTTTATTTTATTAATCAATTAAAATATATAATAAATACAATTAAAGACAGAATAGGAATATAAGGGCCATAAAAGTAAATCCAACTAATTATTCTATGAAAATACCGCGCTCAAGAAAAAAGATAATTATGTAAGATTCTTTTACGATTTCGCTAAATTTAACATTTATGTCAAGTTTAAATATTTAAAAGTAATAATTTTTATTTTAAAAATTACTACATTAAAAATACAAAATTACAATAGCAATATTTTGAATAAAAAATAATGAATATTACAAACTTAAATTTAACTTAAACAAATTTTTTATTCAGTACGAAAGTCAAGAATACATGGAAATATTAGTAGCAATACACACGTTAAATCTCATTGATAAATAATTAGATAACAATATTGTGGTATGTCAGAATCAGATGAAGCATTACATTTTGGATTTATTACGAAAAAGTGTTGTGTCAAAGACTTTGAGAAAAAATCGTGTTCTTGGTATTGATAGCTTGGATTGCAATATGGTGCCAATGGTATTAATTAGCTTCCTCTTCACTTCTGAATCTATGCCACCCATTGAAACTATCTCAGCATATGCAGCTGGTTCTTTGTTACCCTCAAAAGATATTGGCACTGACCCCTTCAATATGATCATCACAAACTGCACACACATAGTCACAACAAAGACTCCAAGTCACAATGCATATTACACTATTGGTATAAAGAAGGCGTAAGTTAAACAAATAATAGTGGGGTTAGTGAAGTGGTCCCAAACAAATAATGGTGACGTGTACTTGAGGACCGATTCAGGATAAAGTGCAATATTTAGAGAACTTCACTTCTTCCACTACCCTTGATCGTTTCCATTGGACACGTTACAAGCAATAGAAGGATCCATGGCCATGGTCTCTATTATCTTCTATTTAATTAATTACTTCACTCTGATTCGTTGAACTTTCCTTGTCTTAACTCAATCATGACATTATTTGCAATATGGTGTCTTTTATATCCTATCACTTATTGTATTCTACTGATCTGATTTCATGTGACTTAAAACTATATCAAATGGTATTAAAATATTTATGGCACTCCACCCTTCAGAGTAAACCTTCCAACTTGCCGGTCTTCTTTAACTGGCCTGTTCTGTTACCATTTGGATTAGTTTATTTCATTTTCCTGACAATTTTAGTAGTATTCATAATGTTTTGGAATTTGAGGCACTGTTTTAATATAATTTTTACGGAATTCCAACGTACAACTTTAACACTATTAAACTGATCTACGCGTTTTATCAACTTTTATGGTTACGAATTCTTTTTTTTTTTTTTAAATTGACTGAATTTTTTTATTTAAGTCTTATTAATCTATGTTCTAACAATACTGGTTAAAACTTAAAATAATTATTAAAATTCTATTAATAATAAATAGTAATTTTTTAATAAAAAATTAAATTTTAACCATGCCTTCTTTTAATGACCAATAAACTACTGCAAACGAAATAAATTTTTAATGCTCAACTCATGAGAATCGGTAATTATGAATAGTAATTATCTGAATTATTTTAGACGCATGATTAAATTAGGAGAATGTTAGCCATATATTCTTTTCCATATATTTTTTTTTATTTTTTAGGCAAATCAACATGTAAAAAATAAAATATTTTAATTTTTAAAAAGAAATTAAAAAATATATTTAAAAGAGTGTATAGATAACATTTAAAAAAAAACTAAATATAAAAAAGAAGCAGAAAAGAAAATGGGGCAGTTGCTCAACTGCAGAGGAATCAAAAGCCTGCACTTATGAACATTCATACTTAACAAAAATCTGTCAAATTTAAACTTTGGTCCAATTTTACATATAAATTAGAATCTTTAATCTTTACTATAAATTAAGTTGTTAAGAGTAATCTTAATCTAGCAGGATAAAGCTGCATCAAAATTTACAATAAACAGAACAAAAAATACGAATAACTTAAAATGAACCATAATTAACGAAACAAATGAGCAACAAAACTCATCAATCATAATCAATATTTGTGTCAAACCCAGAAGGAATCAGCTCATCTTGAGACCGAATTTTCAGAACCCATAATTGGAAAACAGTGATAAGAGAGGAAGAGAGAGTAGTGTGGCATACCTTCTCTGGTCTGCCGATGATCGTGGAGATAGCAGTGGTGGCTTCAGAAAAGATGGGATCTATGTTCACCCCATCTAAGTTAATGTTGGTGGAGATGTAAAGACAAGGCATCTTCTCCCTTTTTTCTTGGAACTCTTAACTTTTTCAAGTCCCAATGTGTTGCAATCCCATCTTGCATATATATATATATATGATGTAAGTGCAATGCTGACTTTCACTGTTTCCACCAATTTGTAATGGAATCCTTGGCTTGGACCATGGATAGCAACATCCATAATGCCTCTCTTTTTCATTATCATAAAATAGAAAAATAAATGTTTTTTTGACTTAGTCCATACCTGGTATAACCTGCCTCAATTCCGTCAATTCTCCAAAGAGTGACGTTTGATCAATAGAAAATATAATCTAATACACCATGTGACATATATTATTAAATTTCATCCATTTAACACCACCCTTGAAAAAGAATTTACCAAATGTTTTTATTTGTTTTTCTATTATCAAGAATTGACGTGGTTTCTGTAATTTTTTCTAATATTACATATGTATCTACTATATATATTTTTATTTATATGTTTAGGGGAAATGATATTAATTATTATACTTTTACTAATATCTTTTTATCATATAAAATATTTATATGATTTGAATAGGGAAAAAGAGACCTTAAATTAGTAAGTTTAATAATTAATTTAATAAAGTAATTAAATTTATTAGTATTCAATACTTAAGAGTTAGTACTGTTTCTGTATAGAGGCATTCCTTAGAGATGATTGATTTTTGGTGACTAGTGGAGTTGTTATAAGGAAACATTTTAATTCTCAAGTGAAAAAGAGTTTAAGACAACTTTAGTGTATTAAAAAAGAAAAAAAAAATAGTATACTTGATGTTATATAAATAGTTAAAGACATTCTGAATTCTCTTTTCTCTTATATAAACATTTATGTTATTTTTTTATGAAAAATAAATAGTATACTTGATGTTTGTAGCGCTTGAGGCTTCTTGGATACGCGTGGTCCAAAATAGTATTATGAGCATGGTGAATTTCAATGTGTGAGGACATGAACTTCAGAAATTTTTTTACTATGACTGTTTTTCATAATATTATCTCCAAATAATTAGTTTATATATATATTTTGTTTCATTAAACAGATAAATAAAAATGTAGCTGATATTTATTTATACCAAAAATAAATATTTTATGAATTAAAAAAAAGTTAATCATTTTATTATAATCATTTAACAGAGTTCCTAATATCCGCTTTATTAGTGAATTTCTCTTTAATCTTTTAGTAAGTCAGTTAGTCTAAATGCTTCATTTATTGTATCTAAAATTTTTATATAGAGGTGAAATAATAATAATTAATATTATTTTAGATTTTTACTTGGATGTACAAATAAATATGAGTATATACTGTGGAAGTTAAATTATATTAATTGTTAAAAATGAAATAATAAAGAGTAAATATATAAAGTAATAATTATCAAAGTAAAATTGTTTTCAAATCACTGTAAAGAATTTTACATTAATGATCAATTTAGATTTTTAAAAGATTATTATAAAATTGACCGAAGGAAGAATAAAGCAAACAAAAAATTTTATATATATATATATATATATATATATATATATATATATATAACTTTATGCATATGTTTTCAGGAATTGAACTGAAAAATAAACTAGTAAAAAAAAGGTACGACCTCTGCGTTAACATTTATTCCTAGGTAAATTTGTAATGAAATCATAATTGAATTATGATTAAATCAAATAATATTCAAAGTTAGAAAATATAATTATTGTTCATATATAATCCAAATGATCTCACCTTTAAAACCTCAAAATTGAAAGTTTTTTATCTGCTAATCAAACACACTTATTTCATTAGGAATTCATAACATTCTTCATATAAGTACAACAAGTAATAGTGACAACTAGTCATAATAGTTTCAAACAAAAACTAGAATTTTCAGATAAACATACAATATTGGGAACAAGCCTAAGTCATCTCATAAGAATATAAATCATTCTATTTTAATTTTTAAACATGTAACGGTGATTAAATTAGAGGTTTGTGATTTACATATGCATTAAAAATGAAAGTAATTTAAATGAAAGCGGATCAAAACAATGAATGTGAATTTAAAATTTAAAAACAAATCTAAAACTAAATCTGATAATAAAAATAAATTCAAAATTTGAAAACAAATCTAAAAATAAATTTGAAAAGAAATTTGAATTTAAAATTTGAAAACGAATCTAAAAAAATTGAAAACAAAAATTGAATAATGAGAATGATTTGAAAACAAGATCAATTAAGACAAAAACAAACGAAAATAAAAAAAAAATGAAAAATTGAAAACAAGAACAATTAAAACTAACATGAATTAAACCTACAAACCACAGACGCAAACTAGGATTACTATACCGAATTTGTCCGAAACTCAAATGCAATAGAAACCAATCGATCGATATTACATTCAAGAACAAAAATCAAATTTAATCAAATTCAGTATGCACAAATCTTAATCAAGAATTGCGAAAAGGTGAAAAGACAAACTTGGAGCGCTCAATCAATCTAGCAATCCACGCTTGAGATGAGATGCTTTATGACAACAAATAATTGAGAACACAGCAGGATCCGAAGAGATGCAAGCAAGCGAATGAAATGAAAGAAATTTTACTCTCAAAAATAGGAAAGAAGGTCCTTACGGAAATATAAATTTCTCCAACGAAATTATGAAAAGGAAATTAAAACTAAAAAAATCACTAGGTCCCTGAAAGTCGACCTCTAACCCCTATAAGTATTGATCTTAAAAGAAAATAAAAATAAATGGGCCAAGGCCTCTGGAAAAAATAAAATAAAAGCCCTAAGTAGAAACCCTAAATATAAAAAGTATGTTTTAAGTCTGAATTTCAAAAATTAATAAAAAAAATATCTCTGAACTCCAAACAGCATGATTTATATGTCCAAATTGAAGACCAAAAAGTCAAAAATTCAAAGAATCATACAAAAAGGAGGTCTGCAAAAAAAATTATGACCAAAATAGTGAACAAAGGTCAGAATAGAGAAAATACAAAATATAAAATAAAGATAACAAGTATTTATGAAAACTTCAATTTAATGCAAGAAATGCAAAAACATGTTAAATGCAATACATAAAGAGAAAAAAGATATTTTAGAAGATATCATACAGTTATAAATGTAAGTACAAAATACGAATCATCAAATAGTATATTTTGTTTTACATATATTACGTGTAAATTCATTTTTTTAACGTCATTAATGATTTTTTTAAATTAATTAAATCTATATTTACAGACTTTCTAGTTTATTTTTAAATAAAAATTAATACATTAACGCCACTGTAAAAGTTGAAACGAAATAACTTACTTTCAAAAACCGATTTTTCTAAAACACAAGAACTTTTATCTAATATTCCTTCACTGACCGAGTTGACCAGAGGTTATTGACCTTGACCTTTACATAAGAACACTATTTTGTTTTTGGTGTAGATTATTGACCAGAGAAGATTATTGACTTTAACGTAATAGAAGACTTGTTAATAAATATCAATTAAAGAATAAATATTTTTTATTAAAATTTAAATTAAAATATATTTAAAATAATGAAATTGAATATTTTTATATTTTAATAAAAAATTAATTTTATTTTCTTAAATATTGACTAATATTTTTTTATCTTTATATTTGATAATTGATATTAGATGAGTGTTAGAAATGCATTTTAACATATTTTTATAACATATTTTTAGTTATTAAATAAAATGTATTAACTATCATAAAAACATAAATAAAATTATTAAATTGAAAATCACATATTTTTTTTATTTTATAATAAATTTTAATTAATAATAAAAATATATTTAAAATAAATTAATAATCTTTCTTATCTTACCATGTGTGGTAAACGTGTGAGGTCAAATCTCTCCCATCAACCTATGAGTCATGGAGGGAAACAAAATTTAAATAAGAAGCTTCTTTGAAATTCATGAGACTTTCTATATATTAACTTTTTATTTTTATTTTTAAGGTTTTGTTAACCTTACGATTGAGGATAAATATTGACAAATAAATTTTTTTTTATGAAAAAGTACATATTTATTGTATTGAAGTTATAAAAAGGGGTAATAAGTCTAAATTGTGTCCCGTATCAGATTTCTGCAAGTTGTGCAATTTTCATGACAAAACTTACTTATATTGTGATACGTGTCACCATTAGAGAGTTTCGCGTTGTGTATGATAAAATTAACATTTAATTTCTCTATTTCAAGTTCGCATTTCTAGTGACGAAATTTATTTTTAAAAAAATAAAAATTTAATATTTTTATCAGCTATTTTGACAAAATTATTACCATGTGAACTAATACACTTCAACAAGGAATAGTTTTAGAAAAATAATAAATTAAGATTTTTTTTAATTTTACAATATTTAAATAAATAAAAAAATCAAGTACATAAGCAAGATGTTTTTACCTTAAAAATACGTAGAAATTTAAGTGATGTAAAAAAATATAAAAATTTATTAAAAATTATAAAAATTGTGTAGATTTTATTTTTATTTATAAATTAATATTTTTATATTTTTTATAGACAAAAATAAAAAAGTGAAATATAAAAAATTGTTTACTAATTTCTTGACTATTCATTCTTTCTATTGTTTGCTTTATTAAGATTGACTTGAAAATTATTATATTTTATGATTTTTTTAATTTTAATATGGTATTTAAAATTTCTATCACCAAATATTTTAATTCTGAATATTATGAAAAAAAATATTAGAATTGATCTTTAAAATTAGCATCATTGATTAATTAGGTCTTATATTATGAAAAAAAAAATAGTTGCAACTGTTACTCGGTTTATTTTCCTAATATTAATGCCTGCCAATAAATTATTTTTCCTCAATACTCTAGTGTATATTAACAACCAGTTTGACTGATAATTGATAAGAGTTATGAGTAACTTTTTTTACTAAGTGATAAAATTAATCGGCGATATCAATTTTTAGAATTAAATCAATTGATAATTATTGGATGATAGATTAAAATGCTTTCTTTCATATTGAATATTTGAAATCAAAGCAACT